AGACCGATGTGTGGCGAACGCCCGACCGACGCCCTCTGTGCTTCCACTGCGGGGAAGCAGACCACACTTACCTACCGCCGGTGCCCATACCGTCGACTCGGGCTGCGCGGGTTCCACCCGAACGACCCGCGACCCCGTTATGGTGAACGGCCTCGGGAAATCGACGAGTACCTGCGACGACCTCAGTCCCCCGAGCCTGCGTCCCGCCGAGAGTTCCGGTCGCCTTCGCCACGACGTCCAGCTTCGCCGACGCACCGACCCCGACGTGAAAGCCTGTCGCCCCTTGCTCCACGCCGGGGAAACTAGGCACGGCAACCCCTGGAGGTGGAGTTGCCGAAGACGACCGACGCCAAGATCCTCCACGAACGTCGGAGGGCCCCCACTCGAACACTACCAGAGACCGAAACGACGCCCCTGCAGCGATGTCCAATAACCTGAACGTCGTCATTGACGGCCACGACGCATCAGCACTCGTGCACACCGGAGCAGACTACTCGGTCCTGAGTGGGAGACTCTCCCGCCGCTTTCGAAAAGTCATGATGCCGTGGGAAGGACCCCAAATACGAACCGCCGGAGGACATCTCATCGCACCAGTCGGGAGAGGCACTGCTCGCGTCGAGATCCACGGTGAAACGTGCCCTGTGAAGTTCGTCGTTCTGCAAGACTGTTCGAGGGACGTTATCCTCGGAATGGACTTTCTCTGCGAGTATGGCGCCGTCATCGACCTCGGGGCAAACCAGCTGACGCTGCGAAAGCCTGTTTTATCGCCGGTGGAGACCAACACGACGTCAACCGCAATCCGAGTTATCGCCGACCATGTGAACTTACCGCCGCGGTCGAGTGTTTTCGTCACCTTCATAACCGACTCAGCCTTGCACGGTGAAGCTCTTCCGGAAGGCAGCGTCCAACTGCTCCTTGAGAAAGGAATTGGCGTCGCACGAGGCGTAACGGATCTCCAAGAAGGACGTACAACTGTTCTTGTGACAAACTTCCGAGAGGAGCCGCAGCACTTAACAAAGGGTACCACTGTGGGCCACATTGAGGAGTTTCAGGCGCCAGCCGTGGTCACCGCAGTCTCCGAAGAAACCTCGTCGTCACAACAGAAAAGCACACCACCGCCGCCTATCGACATCAACTCCGAGCTCCCAGCTCCTAAGCGCCGGCAAATGGTTGATCTCCTCGCCGAATACAGTGACTGTTTTGCCACGTCGTCTAAAGTTCGCCAAACACCAATGGCGAAACATCGCGTTATTACCGACGACGACGCGCTCCCTGTCCATCAGTCGCCGTTTTGATACTCCTTAAAGGAAAGGAAGGTGATTCAGGATCAAGTCCAAGAAATGCTCGACGACGACAATATTCAACCCTCAAGAAGTCCATGGGCATCCCCAGTCGTCCTTGTAAGGAAGAAGGACGGAACCCTGCGGTTCTGCGTGGACTATCGTCGACTGACCGCTGTGACGAAGAAGGACGTCTATCCGCTCCCCCGCATCGACGACACGTTAGACCGACTGCGCCACTCCCGATTTTTTTTCGTCGATGGATCTGAAGAGTGGCTACTGGCAGATTGAAGTTGACGAACGCGACCGGGAGAAAACTGCCTTCGTCACTCCCGACGGACTGTACGAATTCAAAGTGGTGCGTTGGGGCTTTGTACAGCGCCAGCCACCTTCCAGCGTGTCATGCACACCGTGCTGGCAGGTCTGAAATGGCAGAGCTGCCTCGTCTACCTCGACGACGTCGTGGTATTTTCACGAGATTTCGACGAGCACCTGAAACGACTTCGAGCCGTACTTCAAGCCATCAAGACCACCGGCCTGTCACTCAAGCCGACAAAGTGTCGATTAGCCTATGGTGAACTTAAGTTCCTTGGCCACGTCGTGAGCAACAAAGGTGTTCTCCCGGACCCCGAGAAGACGCGCGCCGTAGCTGCATTTACGCCGCCGTCTGACAAGAAGGCCGTGAGAAGATTCCTCGGTCTTTGTGCCTACTACAGACGATTTGTTCGGGACTTCGCCAAGCTGTCCGCACCGCCGACGCACCTCACGAAGGACGCCGTAAAGTTCGAATGGACAGACGAACACAAGCAGTCATTCGATGAGCTGAAACGAAGACTCCAGACGCCCCCGATTCTTAGCCATCTCGACCAGTTCGCTGATACAGAGATCCACACGGATGCCAGTAACACCGGACTTGGCGCGGTGCTAGTTCAAAGGCAGGACGGGGCAGAGCGAGTCATCGCATACGCGAGTCGGATGCTGTCTGGGGCGGAGAGGAACTACTCAACAACTGAAAAGGAGTGCCTTGCTCTCGTCTGGGCAATTACAAAGTTTCGCCCATATCTGTATGGAAGTCCTTTTCACGTGGTCACGGACCACCACTCGCTCTGCTGGCTCGCGAATCTGAAAGACCCCTCCGGACGCCTCGCCCGGTGGAGCCTACGACTGCAGGAGTTCGACATGACCGTTGTGTACAAGTCCGGCCGGAAGCACAATGACGCCGACTGCCTGTCAAGAGCTCCTGTTGAGGCCGGACCTGATTGTATCGAGGACGACGACGATGAGTGTTTCCTCGGCGCTTTGGACGTCAGCGACATGGCAGCACTCCAACGAGACGACCCTGAACTGCGAGCGCTCATCGAGCACTTAGAGGGACAAGCGAGTTCGGTTCCCCGTGCTTTCTTAAGAATCCTGCATACATTCTCCATGCGGCAAGGGGTGCTGTACAAGGAGAACTTCGTCAACAACAACACAGCATGGCTGTTGGTTGTTCCTGCCAGTCTTCGAGATGAAATTTTCCAAGGATGCCATGACGACCCAACGGCTGGACACCTTGGCTACAGCAGGACGCTCGCCAGGATTCGAGAAAAGTACTACTGGCCGAGGCTACCGAAGACCGTTCACCTATATATTCGATCATGCCACGAGTGTCAGCAACGCAGGAAACCGCCCACGAAGCCGTCAGGACTTCTGCATCCGATTTCTCCCCCGTCTATGCCGTTCCAGCAGATCGGAATAGATTTACTAGGCCCTTTCCCGCCGTCAACGTCGGGAAACCACTGGATTATCGTCGCCACCGATTATCTCACACGGTACGCCGAGACGAAAGCCCTTCCAGCAGGCACGGCTGTTGAAGTCGCCAAGTTTTTCATCGAGTCCATCGTCCTCCGGCACGGCGCTCCAGAAGTTTTGATTACTGATCGCGGATCATCGTTCATGGCACAGCTGACCCAAGAAATCCTCCGACTCAGTCACACCAGCCACCGTCGTACAACTGCGTACCACCCGCAGACCAACGGGCTGACGGAGAGACTGAACAAGACAATCGCCGACCTGATCTCTATGTACGTCGACGTTGAGCACAAGACGTGGGACGAGGTGCTGCCCTACGTCACGTTCGCCTACAATACAGCAGTTCAGGAGACCACTGGATTTACCCCTTTCCAGCTGGTACATGGTCCGAACGTAACGACCATGCTGGACGCAATGCTGCCCCATGAGCCATCTGACAATCAGAGCGACGACGCCCAGGTGGTTGCTCAACGCGCCGAAGAAGTCCGCCAGCTCGCCCGACTCATGATTCAAGACCAGCAACGCGTCGACGCGGGCCGCTACAACCTTCGTCGCAGGGACGTTCACTTCCAGCCCGGAGACAGGGTGTGGGTGTGGACGTCCATCCATCGCCGCGGCCTGAGTGAGAAACTGCTGAAGCGGTACTTTGGACCATACAAGGTACTTCGTCGCCTCGGCGAGCTGAACTACGAGGTGATGCCCGACGGAACAAGAACATCATCACGCCGCCCACCACGACCTGAAGTCGTCCACGTCGTGCGCCTCAAGCCGTACTACGCTCGATAGGACTGTGGATCTTATGTGTTTCAAAAAACTCTTTAGTTTGCCGTTCTTTTTATGTGCTTTGTTGTGTTTTGTGTTGCATCAGGGGCGATGCACTTTTTTAAGGGGGGAGTAATGCCGCGCGCCAGGTAGGCAGCGCGGCCGTAGCCTAACGGTTATCGCGCTTGCCTCCAACACGCGAAGGGCCAGGGTTCGATTCCTGGCCGCGGCTACGCATTTTGTTGACACTGTAATGAGATGTTCTGGTAAATTCGAGAACCGTCTAGCTGATTCGACGTGGAAGGTTCGACGCGTAAAACATTCTAAACTCAAATCAGCTAGATTCGAGTTTAGCGGCTCCGCGTGGCAAGCCGGAGTCAGTTTTCGCCCCAGCGTTCGACTCTGCTGCTACGCCAACCTCGACGCCCGCGACGCTCTGTTATTATCTTTTGTACCCTTTTATTTTGGCACAAGTTCGCCACATTAAACGTTTATTTCTTCCTGTTCATTTCTTGTTTATTGGTCACCACCCGTGACAATATACTTCAACTATCAAATTACAGTAAATAACAGTATCAATAGAAATTATCAATATAACCCCCGTAAAAATAATTATTTATTAACCGATGACTCGGATGATAAAGCGCTTGGCAATTACTGCGTTAAATAATTAATCAGTAGAGTTATTGGCAAGCTTCACAGCCCCGCTTTCAACATATTCACGAGGTTCTTAAAATGGTCATTGCACTAAGTGTTTTTGGAAATAAAATATACTCCTTTGGAGATTGCTATATGAACTTGATTCCTGAACTTTTACCAAAAATATTGACATTTACAAACAAAGACGTATTACATCTTTAGATTTAACATCTAGGCCGAAAAAGAAATGTTAGTAATTTGTAAACTAATGCAATACTATTTACGACAAAAGCATAACATTATTTGCTATTGTGATATATTTTAAACAACTTGGTTCTTTCGTCAGAAAGTTTGAGAAATGGTTTTAATTTGTTGATCTGTTTAGGTCAACAGATTCCGAGAGAGAATATTACTCGACTCATTTATAAAACTCGCATAGCAAAACAGATGGCATAATGTATGTTTAAGTTAGCGAGAAAAAAAATCACATCTGTATTCGTCTTCCTGACTGATCGCGGTTTTTATTACCTTTGAAGCATTGCGGTTCTCAATGAGGAATTTCGCTCTTTCCGTGTATAGATGAGTCGAATATTTTCCGCTTACATTCCGTAGTGGTTCGGTGTTGAGCCAAAAATCGAGTCCTATTTGGCCACCCTAAAAAAGGAAGAAATAAGGTTCTCAGCCTCTTGTTTCCCGACTGACAACCGAAATGCAGATCTATTGAGCACTCACACTGGTAACGGTGTGGTCGTAATAGTCTTCTCCAGCACTGTAGAAACCATAGAAGCTATCAAATCCTCTGTAGGTTGGCGTGTACGTAAGCTTGTAGTTTCCCAGGTTCCACTGATTGATAAAAAAAAATTTTTTTATCCGGAATGCCTTTACTAAATTCAGACATGAATCGTATACGTCGCATTAATTGGCCGTCACAGCTGATGATGAATGAATAAATAGATGCATGCGGCGGAACCCTTTTAATTGAGCGGCTGCTTGCGCCACCTAGTCAGTGTTTTGAATGTCAACAGTTCATATCCATCGAATACACAACGCGGGTTGCATTGAGATTTCACAACGCTTCCTCAACGCGCTTCCTCAACGCGACATTCTAGATTGTGTGGAATTCCACACAATCTAGAATGTCGCTCTTTGCAGACAAGTTGAAGTGAAATATGGCGTCCAGTGAGCATATCTAAAATATTCGGAATCTAAAGTGCCGGAGAATTGATTTTAGTTCGCCGCGTTTTTCACTTAAGCCTAAATTGGTAGCGGAGTTTGTTTTTGTTTTTACTGGTATTTACAGATAGATTAAATAATATGGAAGCATCTGATTTGCCCTTATAAAGTAGCCTGAAAGAAAAGAAGCGAAATTCTTGTAATCGCATTCTTCAATGAATTGCAAGTGGTGTTTGCGGTAACGCGTTACAATTAACGTAGTAGCGTGAGATGCGTTACTTTTTTCAGTAATGTAGTAACGTGCTCGTTACATTTTTAAAACAGTAACAGGTAGCGTATTTACGTTACTCATTTCAAGTAATGGGTAACGTAGTTACGTTGCTCGTTACATATTCTTCCCAAGACTTGAAATAAATAACACTTTAATTTTTTCCGTGTTTCAATTCTTCGTTTTACCTTAAAGCCTGACGACCAGTCTGAGCTTTCCAATTTTCCTCCTCTCCCCTTGCTACCCTGTCCACCGTTGCCTGTTTCCTCCTCAGCCATGTTGAGGAGGATCTTCTGCCTTGCAGAATCTCGAGTCTTGTCGTCGGCCTTTTTAACCCCAGACGCAGCCGTCGCTACGAGCTGATGGGAACAATCGGACAGCGTCAAAAGGGCACCATCATGGTCGACGAAAATAATCCCTGGAGAAGAAGAACAAGGGGGAAAAAGGGCAAACACAAATCTCCAGACACCGCTAAGTGACTGGTGCGCGATCCCTTTCTCAAGGGATTACCAGGTCCCTGGCTCGATACCAGGACATGGCGGATTTCGGGGTCGCACGCCAGTCACCTAGCTGGGTTTGGAGATTAATGCTCTTCCTTTGTCCCCTTGTTTCCCCTTCTCCGGGGATTATTTTCGTCATTCTTGTCCAGCTCACGTGCACCTTTGCATTAAATTACATTATTGTAACCATCATGGCGTTCGTCATGTTTCTCTACGAGTTATATTATGGCTGAACCAATCATGAGCAAAAAGCGTCCTGTGACTTGCGCCTTCGATGCTGCATGATCGGTCCCCTTAGCTCGTAGCGTCGGCTGCGTCTAGATGTAGGCTGAAGCAGGCACGTAGCCAGGATCTTGTTCCGGGGGGAAGGAGGGGGGGGGGGGGGGGCGCCCATGACAAAACGCTGTATGAGGGGGAGGGGGAGAGGAGGTCCCAGCAAATTGGACGATTTCGGGGGAGGCCGGGTTCCATGCCCCCCCCCCCCCCCCTAGCTATGTTCCTGCGCTGAAGCAAAGTATAGACGCCCAGTCATTAATTATTGCAGTTATTATACATCCCTTCAAAAGTTTACCTGCATTTCCCCACCCAAAAAGTCCCACTTTAGCAAGAACCCCGACGCCCACGCCCTTATCCCACTGTCACAAAAAGGCTGTCTCCAATACAACAGCAACAACGCTGCTACCGTCAATTTACAAAAAAAAAGGTTATGCAAAAGTAACTTGCGTTGCATTTCATCTATAAGCGTAACTGTAACGCGTTTCTTTTATTCTGAGGTAAGGTAGGTCGGTAACGCGTTCCTTTATTTTGCAAGTAAAGAGTGACGTATTTTGTTACTCTTTTCCGGTATCACAGCACTGCTCCCAGGTTCAAATTTAACCTGCTATTTAATAATCAGCTACATTTAAATCTTTATTGAAACAATTTTGCAAAAGGTCAGCCACGTAATCAGTGGTTCCTTTTTCATGCAGTGTTCGCGTCGCGTTGTAGCCGTTGAATCATCAAGACAGCCGTCTTTTCAAAACTGTTTTGAGGTCCGGACTTTACACCGGCTAAGGGAGGACTTTGAACACCGACCGCTGATCTTGTGGTCGGTTCGGCCTCCTTACGCCGACTTTGAAGGCATGACACCCGCACGATAGACGGAACGGAGTTGAGTAGCGAATGAAGGAACGAGGCAAGAGAAACGACTCAAAACAACCCCAACTCCGGTAGGAGTGGAGTAGTTTGCAAGAATTGTGTTTCTCGGTCCGACTCACCCTTGGTGGCGTCGGTGCCTCACCTCGACTACGTCTTGTCCCGTTGACCATTTCACCCCGACTCCGCCCCTTGCGATCGCGTCGGACACTTTTATTAATACTATTATTACTACTACTACTGCTACTACTAATAATAATGATGATAATGATAATTATTAATATTATAATTTGCACAAAAAGCATATTACCCTGGATGGCGTGCCAGGCCGGGCAGAAAGGACAAAACCCTTACGCAGGTGCTCCTGTTGGCCCGCGGCAATCCGCACAAAGTGGCCATCTGTGGCAATCCGCGCTAACCGCGCTCTGCGCCTGTAGACATGCTCAGTCGTCCACTTTTCTGATAATGGTGTGACGTGACGGATGGCGCTGATAATTGTTCCAAAACAACTGGCTAACGCGCGTATGGTCGTGAAACAGCGCTCAGTTTCATAAAAGCCCGCAAAACTCAGTGCGTAACGATTGTATTTAAGGACATGTCAAATAACAAAAAAGAAGTATAGTTTGCATAAAGCGCGTTAGGTCACCTTGCCAATCATGTGAGTCTCATATCCGAGATTCTTGAAGTGCTGTGGCATGATTGTTACGTCCAGAGGTAGTCCAAATGGCTGTGCGGGTAATAGGACGCTGTGCTGCATGCCTGGAGTTTAAGGGATGCAATAAGAGAAGGAATGTGACTACCACTGTTGCGTTGCATGGCCCAAATAAATCGTAACTAAACACAAAACAAGTGTGGTCGAGAGTAGAGCACTGGAGTCAATCACAAAAATTCGACCAGATTCTGCCTTTTTTTTATTAAATATCAATTAATGGACTATCGTGCATCGAGCAAAAGCTGCGAAAAAAATAACAGAAATTAACACTTTGCTAATATTTAACTACAGATAATTGTATAATCTTACCCGGAATTAACCCTCTTGAACAAAAACAACCGAACTCTAATTCTTACACTTTAAGAAGTGCCTGCGCGTCTACTTACCCACAAAACACTCGAAGAGCCAATCTCTGCGATCTACGAAATCAGCTCAGCGAATGATGAGGCGGAATATCTGTTTAGACCTCAAAATGAAGTCTGCCATGTGCCAATACACAATGCAGAGCGTCATGATTGCATTGCGTAATGCCACAGCGCAGATTAATTTTGAGGTCTAAACAGATGCTCCGTCTCGTCATTCGCTGAGCTGATTTTGTAGATCGCAGAGATCGGCTCTTTGAGTGTTCCGCGGGTAAGTAGACACGCAGGCATTTTTTAGAGTGTACAGAGCAACACGTGCTTTATGGTTTTCCATCAAAGAAGCGTGGCTGCAATGAACAGTGGCGCCACAAACCGGCGAGAGAATACCCGATAGCTTGTTCCGGGTTAGAGAGTAGAAGGTTAACGCTGTTTGATGTTCTCCAGCGTTTCCCGTAACAATTCTCTTTCGAACCCAAGAACGAACCGATAAATTATATTATCGTAATCACTATAGAGATTGCGGTTATAAAGTACTACGACAAAAGAACACCAACAAAAACGCCAACAGCTACAACAAATACAGCATCACCACCACCACCAACCACAACACCAACGCAACTACCTCCGCCAAGAACACCAGGAACAACAACACAAAAATAAAGAGAAAAGTGGAGGACATCTTCCTGCCCTCTCATGCTTTTCTTAAACTCAAACAACTCAATGTCCCACAAAAAGAACTTACGGCTTGGGTCTCTATAGTCAACGACAGCTGAAGAAACGAGGGGCGTGGCTAAGTATGTTACCCTGTTGAAACATTTTGCAAACTGGGACAGTTCAAACAGGATTATTGCCACTGATTAAATTGGTTGAACTGGACAAACTGAAACTGTGCATACAGGTCTTACTATGTAACTGTGCATATCAGTTTTACTGTGAAAATGTGTATACTAGTACTACTGTTCAACTGTGCATACTGGTCCACTCCATGCAGTTAGACGATTTTAACTGATCATATTGATTATACAGGTCGTAAGTTAATCAAATTCACTTTATTTCCACATAGAAAAAAATACACATACTTCGGACCGCAAAAGTAAACATAACATATTTACAATGTAAAAAAATTGTCATTATATTATCCATGTGTCCTAGCCGGTTGGCGAGATTCTCCACATTTTCTGGAGTGTCGGGGTTCCGGTGGTGGCTAATATAGCACCCCAAGGCATCTGAAATAAGAATAAACATCAGCAATTAGAACCGTGCTAGATTTCTTTGCACCCGTCTGTTCTAAAACGGTATGTAACTAATGCCAGGAATAGAAAATATACACTATCATAAACAGTATAAGAGGGAATATGGACGCGTGTGCCAATCGCAGATGTGGTACCAGTCTCGTGGCAATTAAGTATAAACCGTATGTAGGCGATTTGGCGAGCGACGAGACAGGCGATGGTGATCCGCCTCGCTGTCGCTCGGTTACTCGCGCGACGAGGCAAACCGCATGAAAGCGAAGGGACCAAGCGACCAAGGCGATGAGCGACGATTTCTAGAAATTCAAAAAAAAAAAACGAGCGAAGCAACGATTGACCGTGGGAAATATCCGTCGCTCGTCGCTGACTCTCGTCGCTGTCACTGTCGCTCGCTTAATCGCTTACATGCGGTTCAGCCTTTACGCAAAGCAACGCCTAGGAGTGAAAAGATCCTGCTGTTGTTACGGCCCCTTCCTGCCTCCCCAGTCTGTCGTCCGCTGTGCAACTCGCAACCACTGTGGTAGAGGATCTCTAAAGATGCATGTACACTGGCGGTTGTATTAATAGCATAGCTGTTCCAAACCGGGGTGCTAAAAGGTTCAGTTTCACATGCACCTGACTATGGAAATGAATCCAAATGGTCTAGCTTGCTTACCTGGCTCGCTGGCGCAGAGATAGAGACACTGCCCGCGCTGCAGTGAGGACGAAGCGAATTCCAAACACGCCTCTCTGGGAAGCAGCCATTTCGCCCGCGAGCGAGTGGAACTCAGGTGGAAGACGTCGTCAGTCACGGGAACCATCGGCAGAGGCAGCGCTCAAGGCTCCGGCAAACTGTCTTATACAAATACAGCTTGAAGACAACTTGTTACCTCCCCAAGCAGAACAGCAGCGCGAACACAGGCTCAACCGTCACGCCAGATCTGTATATTTTTTTTTTTTCAGAGTTGCCGCCGACGTTAGCTCAAAACTGGCGCTTGAAACGGGCGCGAGGGCCGCGCTGAATAGCCCGCGGGCTCCCTGTCCTGGCACGTGAGAAGCTCTTTCTTTTCAAGGCACCCGCGCTGCGCGTGGGGACACTGCATCATCTCCGGTCTCAGGGCACCAGCGCATTCCAGGCGCCTGACTCACCGGCAGTGTTGGACAAAATACTCGATAAAAGTATTTAAGTTACGTTACTTAATACCTGCTTCTAAAAGTATTTAAAATACTACTCAAGTTACTTTCATTGTAAAGTATCTTAAGTAGAATAAAAATAATTGGAAATGTATTTCAATTATCTTTGAAGATACTTCCGTATTGCTTAATTTGTATCGACGTCAGTGACAACGACATTTATACAGCTGCGCGAATATGGGTTACCAGAGTGGTTTATTAGCACGCGACAGCACAAAACGGAAAAAAAGTATCCTAGGGCTATTTTATGCAGTCCAACTATAATGAGCAGGATATTATCACGAATAACAAATGATGAGGCGGCGAGTAACCTAATAAACTGAACGTTTAATGGGGCGAACTTGTGCCCAAAACAAAATAGTGAAAGGCTAGCGTTGCAGGCGTCGATGTCGGCGAAACAGCAGGATCGAGCGCTGGGGCGAGACTGGCTCCGGACCGCCACTTGGAGCACCTTTTGTACCCGCGTGTGTTTCTGTAACATTCGGGGTAAAAAGTTCGGCGCGTAGAACATTCGTATTTCGATCAGACGGCAATGTTCTCGAACTTACGAGAATATCAAGTTGAAATAATAAATAAACGAGGAGTCCGCTCCCTGGCATCGAACCCGGAGCCTCCGCGCGAGAGCCAAGCGTGGTAACCATTTGGCCACGCGCTCGCTGGGCAACGCACGTGGCAATATCACTGATAGATGTTACAAAACATTTCTGGGACAGCAAGAAAGAGCTCGCTTTAGCTATTGGGAAGGATGGATGGATTGATGAATCCGGCTGAGCCCTTTGGATTGGGCGGTAGCTTACGCCACCTAGCCATTTTGTTTTACCATTTAAGCTTAGAATACTTAAATGTGAAAACTATATTCACTCCGCACTGCAAAGAAAGTGAGGCTATAAAACCCGATTGCCATCAGTTAATAAGAAAATACCTAGTTTTCTCTCGCTTTCTGCCACTATTCACTTAATCTTTGCTTGGTAATATCTACAGTCTTGAAATCCACTCTCCCTTCGCTTTCCGTAAGTCCCAATGACTTCATTAAATCTATTTTGTCTTGGGTAGGCATAGGGTAAAGCCCTTTACAGTAGAGTATCAAGTGCTCAGCCGTCTCGTCCTCCTCTCCACAAGGAGTGCAGACTGTATCTATTTCCTGGTACATCGCTCTGTATGTTCTAGTTCGCAGAACACCCGTCCTTGCCTCAAGCAACAATGAGCTTCCCCTAGAATTGTCATAAATGCTCTCTTCGGCAATAACTTTTTTGTTTAATCTATAGCTTTCCAGAGCCGTCTTTGTCTGCATTCCGTCTAGTCACCGATCTCTTTCTGTGGTTCTTAACTTTCTTCTTAACTGAGACCTGCTCTTCCGTATCTCCACTATAGCCTAAAAACTTTCCTCTTAATTTCCTAGTGAGCTGTCTCCACTTTCTGTCTATACTCCTCATGTATAAATAGCTGAAAGCCTTTCGTGCCCATTGGTCCCCATCCATTTGCCTCAACCGATCCTCAAATTCTATCTTGCTCACCGCTTCCCTGCTCTCAAATAACGCCCATCCCATGTCTCCTTGTACTCCCTGGTTTGGCGTTTTGCAATGTGCCCCCAAAGCCAGCCTACCTACTCCGCGCAATTTTATTTCTAGTCTTGCATACACTTCGGATTTCATGCATAGCAGTGCGTTTCTAAAAGTCAAGCCAGGCACCATGTCCCTTTTCCAAATCTCTCTTACCACCTCGTACCTGTTGTAATTCCAAAGTGCTCTATTTTTTATTACAGCTGCATTTCTGTTGCCCTTACCTACACTGTTAGCAAGTCCCGTGTATTTGGCGAATATTTGGGGTGCAAACACGCTATTTACAGAAATTACCATAAATTTACACGATGAGTAACGGATAATTCGTTCAGAAATCATGCGAGGTTGTAAAAAACGTGTTTTGGTTCGGTCATACACGCATAACCGTGTAGCCGACCCCGATAACACGCATCGCCCTCGGCGACGACCGCGGCATTGCCGGCTATCGAAGCACCGAAATGCTTGGGGACACACTTAGAAAGGACCGTCGAGACAAATGCCGCGGAAAGAAACATGTCTCGGAGACAGATATGCACCAAAAGCAATTGCGCCATGTCGCAGGACGTTGGCGAAACCCGCGCTTACCGTGATCGCCACCATCTTCTCGTCGATGGCAATGCGGCTTCCCTCATATCACCCATGTTTGTATTTAGTTTAGGGGTCCTGATAACAGTTTCTTAGACATCACAAATAAAGTTATGGG